TTTTTTTTTTTTTTTTTTTTTTTTTTTTTTTTTTTCTTCTTCTTCCCTTTTTGTCTTTTTTCATGACCGGTAACGGGATCGCAGCCCTCGGTGTCGCGCCCGCACCACGCTCAACCAGTGAGTGGAGCGGTCTCTATATGGGATCCGAACCCTCGGCGGGAGCGCCACTGCACTCCTAAGCGCCGCACTCTACCGAGTGCGCCACCGGGCTTGCCCTCTATTTTTTTTTTTTTTTTTTTTAAGGAAAGTAACCCTATCAGCTTTCACTACACCATAGTAAGGATTCCCAGTAAAAATTGTTAACATTTCTACAAAATACTGTCATTGGACAGTTACCAAATTTATGAAATAAACTGGACAATAGGTTGGTAGGGAGCTGCCATATGTAACAATATGTAGTCATGTGCTGCCTAATGACATTTTGGTCAACTATGAACCACATATATGACGGTGGTCAGAGCCATAGACTACACCGCCATTCAGTGTGGGTGTGCAGTAGGCTGTACCATCTCGGTAGGTGCACTCTAGGATGTTCACACAGCAGTGAAAGCGCCTAACAACACATTTTCTCAGAGCTGTCCCTGTCTTTAAACAACGTATGACCGTGTTGCTTCCTGTACTGTGGAAGAAACATGCATGTGTTAAAGGTTTGTAAACTTGACCTTTATGTAATAGAAAATGCTCAGTGAGAAAATACCATTAGGTCTTAGCCACTAAACATATGTGCCGTGGGACCCTGAGATCTCTCTCTCACAAGTGGTCCCTGGTGACCCGCCTGGCTCTGCTAGTGCCATGGGGATCTGCCTTAAAGATGTCATTCTTGGTATTAAAGTCACTGGGGCTGCCCGGAGCTTCCCCTCAGATTCCTGCAGTGCCTGAATTCTCTCCCTTTTGATTCAGGTGAATCTCAGCCCTCTGTGTCTTTCTTCTATTCGGCGACTCTCCTGAGTCCAGGGAGTGACCTTTCTGGCCTGCAGATTTCAGGGATGCCAGTGCAGCTGTGTTGTGTGAACTGGCATAACCTGAGTGGTACAGAAGATGTGAGGAATGGGCTGGCCAGGTAGCTTACTTGGGAGAGCATGGTGCTGATAACACCAAGATCAAGGGTTCAGATCCGCCTGCGGGCCTGCCACAAAAATAAAATTAATTTGGAAAAAAGAAAGAAAAAAAAGACATGAGGAATGCCTGTGGGCCCTTTCTCTGGCTTCCAGCACTTCCATCTGGGTTGTCGTTGTTATCATTAGCTTGTTACTCGAAAGACCTTGGGATCAGGGATTGATACTGAAGCTTTTTTTTCATTCTGGCTCTTTAACATCCAGCATTACCCTGAACGCCACGGAGGACCAGAGCGTCATGGCCGAGACTCCCGTGATGGATGGGGCAGCTACGGATCCGACAAGAGGATGAGCGAAGGCCGGGGGCTGCCTCCTCCTCCCAGGTTTGTGTCACACTCCCCTCAGTGCCTGTCAACTGACAGTATAGGTGTGTGTCCACCTGAGGGGCCCCCAGGTTTCTGGGATAAGAGCCTGGGTGGTAGTGAGCTGAGCATAGCCCTGGGGCACAGCCAGCCCTCGCCACAGTTCAGGTCGCCCCGAGCGCTCTCTCCAGAGTCAGCTCCCATTCCCTGTGGCCCTCCTTGCCCAGAGGGATAGGGGCACAGGTGTGGAAACTCAGAATGCTAATTTACCGTCCAGAATCCATCATTCTTGTTATAATGAAAACCAGACATAGGGCAATCCAAATCAGTGATTTCTTTTTCCAAGGGGCAGACGTGAGTGGGGGGACCACAGCCGAAGAATAGAGGATGACCGGACATGGCAGGGCGCTGCTGATGGGGGCATGATGGACAGGGATCACAAGAGGTGGCAAGGTAAGAAACAGCTCTTGTACCACTTTGTTGAGAAGTAACTGCAAAGGTAGAGGCTGCGCCTGCTCTGCCTACCCCGTTCCTGCTGCAGAGGAGGTGCTCAGAAAGGGTCAGATGAATGAATGCGTGTGTGAGTGAGTGAACACACCAGAGACGCTCTGCTCTCTGGAGGTCTGGCCCAGGAACTGTGCAGCGGGTGCTTGTCTGGCCGGGGAACTGTGCAGCGGGTCCTCTCCACTGTGACTCGGTGAGGAAGTCAGACAGCACAGCTCATGGGCTGAGCTTCCTTCTGACTGGGATCTGCGAGTTCTTAATAACCAGGTGCCTCAAGAAAGGCAGTAGAATTGACTAATGTGCCGTGAAATCTGCATCCTGTGTTCAGATGCTCTATGTGAAAATGAGTCTTGTCTTCTAGGTGGTGAAAGAAGCATGTCTGGTCACTCTGGGCCAGGCCACATGATGAACCGGGGAGGGATGTCAGGGTAAGGCATTTGTTGTGACGCTCAGTCTTTTCCCGTGATGCTTCACTTCTCTTTTGCATGCTGGCTTACCTTGGTGAAGGTTTAAAAAAAAACACATCTTTCCAATTAATACTACATTCCCCTAAGTGTGATGTGGGGTCAGTCATGTGTCACTGAGTCTGTCTGTAGATGTTGCCGCTCAAGAGGGGAAAGGAAGTCAGGAGGAGCACCAGCCCACCAGCACATCCCACCACATCTTTCCAATTAACACTACATTCCCCTAAGTGTGATGTGGGGTCAGTCATGTGTCACTGAGTCTGTCTGTGGATGTTGCCGCTCAAGAGGGGAAAGGAAGTCAGGAGGAGCACCAGCCCACCAGCACATCCCAGTGAACCAGTGATCGTGTGTGGTTTGGGATGGGCCAGAGCATTGGGCAGGCTTCATGGACAAAAGAATGTGAATTTATTCCTAGGCGTGGCAGCTTTACCCCAGGTGGGGCGTCCCGGGGCCACGTGATCCCTCGTGGTGGAATGCAAGGCGGGTTTGGAGGACAGAGCCGGGGGAGCAGACCCAGTGATGCCCGTTTCACTCGTCGCTACTAAGTACTCTGAATCCTGTGTTCCCGTCATGTGGCAACAAGAATATGTTCTGTTAGGAGTTCTCTTAAACTGTGTAAAAATAATTTTTTTTATCTGCTGCCATATTGTAGCTCAATACAATGTGAATTTGGTTTTTGTTTTTTGGGGGTTTTGTTTTTGTTTTTGTTTTTGTTTTTTGTAATAAATGTATTTCTGTTCACATACCCTTTATTTAAAGTGTCGTTTCTTTTCATTTCCACCTCTAAGTGAAATGAAATTATACTTAGCATGGCATTGCTGAGCCACAGCTCCTCATTCAGGGAAGGAGGCTTCAAGGGACAGCTGTGAGGGCTTGTTGGAGCATCTAGAAGCACGTTGTTGATAGTGCACACCTTCCAGCCTGCCTCAGTCAGCTCAGTCATGAATCAGCCATTTCATCCCCCTCCTCCAGGGCTCAGGTGTTTGTGTGGCAGCATTCCATCTCCATGTCGAGGTCTCTTGCGGCACTTGCTGAAGTGCAGAAGGTCTCAGGTGAATATCCTGCTTTCTTCCCAAAACAAGGGTTGCACAATCTGCATTTGTGCCATAGGCTCAAGGGGCAGCTACTACTTCCCAGGAATCAGTGGCCACAGAAGGAAGTGCTAGCTGACAGGCTGCAGGGGTGGTGGCCACCAGATGGGCCTTGGAGGAGCATCCTTAGGTATTATTGAGTGGCAGAATACAGCTGTCACATCAAGAGTGATCTGTGGCAGACACAGGAACGGGCAGCTGCTGCTTGCTTTAGGACAGCAAAGGGGAGCTTAGTTTCACTGTTAACACCTTAAGCTTTGGAACTCCATCCCATTGCATGAGTCACTGATGTTTTCCAATGAGTGTCTCCTAGTTGTATGTATAAACATGTATATTCTGACCCTATTTATGTCTAAATAAGTGTAGAAACACATATGTCAGAAAACAAGTGGAAGAGCTTCAAGGTGTTAAAGGCGTTTGTTTTGCCTCTTTTCTCACATAACAGCATGCCTTGAGGCAGAACTGCTTCCCTTTTCAGTACTGGGTGACCCCTTCCTCTGTAAGGGTGTGGGGTCTCACCAGGAGTGCATTGCTGGGCATTGAGAAACATTTTGCCTGCTGACCACACTGGAACCAAGCTTGTGAAGATTCACAACTGCTGTTCCATGCTGTCATTTGGACCTTTTTACATTGCCTTTTGTGCGTGTGTGTGTGTGGTGGCTGGCTGGTAAGGAATCTGAACCCTTGACCTTATAACACCATGCTCTAACCAGCTGAGCTAACTGGTCAGCCCCACATATTACCTTTTTACGTGGAGGATAAAACAGGATTTTCACAGTGGAGTGGGGGGTGTTAGCACGTGTTTGAAGGCACAGGGTCATCTGGCAGCAGTTTGTGCTCCAGCAGTGTGCTTGAGTACAGGCCTGGTTCCTCATGCCAGGTGGGGCCTAGACCAGCCAAGGGCATCTGGTGGCCCAGCACCCATCCTCCCCCAGGAAGCTAGGCTGGATGCCACAAACTAAAGTGACTGCCTCTTACCTTTAATATATCTGCAACATATAGGCCGGCCCGGTGGCGCACTGGAGAGTGCGCCGCTTGGGAGCGTGGCAGTGCTCCCGCCAAGGGTTCGGATCCCATGTGGAGACCGGTTCCCGCTCACTGGCTGAGCGCAGTGCGGGCGCAACACCGAGGGTTGCAATCCCGTTACCGGTCAGTAAAAAAGGAAAAAAAAAAAAAAAATAGATCTGCAACATAACCAGCACCACTTTAGACAAGCCCAAGTACAAAATGGCGCTGTTCCCCTCCCCCACTTCCCTTTACAGAAGCCTCCCGACTTAAACAGAAACCCCTTTTGCTTCCACAATGACGCAGTTCTCCACCCCGATCCACATTAGCATAATGACCCTCCTTGATGGTATCACCCAGCTCTTGGCGCCAACATACCAATATAAGTTCTACCGGCCCTACACCTGGTGCTGTCCCCTTTCCAGGAAAGGCCTGGGCTGCCTGCTACTTTGAGCACAGCCCAGCAGATTTCTTTCTTTAATAAAGCTTGAATGG